GGTTTCGACGTGTATGCCCCGTCATTTGTTTACGGTACAGGACACGGCAAGGTTCTTATTTTGTGTACACACCGAATGTATACATGAATATACATAATTAACACAAGTAAACAAGTTTCATTTTGGAGAGATTTTTGAATGCAAATGGCATTCGAAATCCTTTTAATTAGCAGCGCCCGTTGGTTTTCACCGAGCAAAGTCTACCTAGGCTCTTAGTAAACGAACAGTGTATAAAAACTAATGAAAGAGCAGGCGTTGTATGTCTATTAAAATGTTAAATTCTCTACAAACTTTATGGCGATGATTCTCAAAGTAGTCTATATCGACTCCTGGGGGTTTACTCCAACCTACAAGGGGTCCATATCGGCCTATTAAAAATATTATGTTAAAGTCGGTCCACAAGAGTGGAACTCATTTAAGGGGATCGTGATTAAAATTTTTACTTTTCATAAACATTACACAGACGTACGTACATAATATTTTTTTGTAATAGACATACAAACCTTACCTATGTATCTATGTATTAAATATTTCATAACAAACAACATATGCGGTTAGATAAAATTATCAAAGGAATAGCATTGCACACAGCGAAACTGATACATACACATTTGAAGTTGATGAATTTAAAAATAAATCTGTATTAGAATAGCAGGAGGTCTACGCAAAACAGAAAAAAAAATGTCACGTGGTCTAAAAGACAAAAATGTTTGGGAACCTCGGCTTTAGAGCAACCATCAAGTTTGTGGTGAAAATCAATCACATTTCATGGTTTTATCATCAGGAAAATAGAGGTATTCGACTCGTATTTTCAAGTGATGTATATATATTTTTGTAATATTCTTAGTGTTTAAAATAAATAAATAAAATAAAAAAATAAAAAAAATAAGTAAAAAGCAACCAGTATTTAATAAACGCACTGTATTTATTAAAATTCTTGGCAACGTGCAGTCATTCTTCCTAAGAAAGTAGAAATTTTTATTCCCCAGTGAGATATAAATTTGTGTACGTGGGTAATTTTCAGAAATTGCAATTTCGATGGCAATTTTTATTATTTGATTATTGTAGAATATTAGCATGAAATATTATTAAATATTTGAGTATGGTACCCTGAAAATTATTTCATATTTCAAGATAATATACTAGAATCGTTAAATAACAAAAATTGCCACTCAAATTAGGTAGAGAAAACTAACCCGAAAATTAGTCACGTAAGCAGTTTGAAGTAAATATAAGGTGAATGTTTGTTTTTATGTAAAGTTAATCAACACAAACTGACTAATACATAGATATTTGCGTGTGTTTATAAACATGTCAACTTGATTCAATCTTTATGTAGTAGTTAGCTAACTATTGGTGGATACATCATGGATATATCTTTGTTTAAAAATACAAAAATACTTGTTTTTATATCACCAACATCAGTCAACAACACTACCGTGTCAAAACAAAACAATGCAATATCATTTGTTGGTAGATCAATGAATATCAAAAACAGCATTTTGAAAAAAAGCTGTGAATAGGACTTTTCGCCTTTTTTGTAACTTTTTTAAAATAAAAAGATACATTTCAGTTATTTATTACATTATATAGTAATAGTAGAACTCTATACAGCCATTATAAAATTAATTGTACTATGCAAAATAAACTATTTATATAGAAAAACTAATAAATTTTGTTTTTCGTTGATAACAGCCGGAAGATTCTTATTGTAATGAAATTACAAACACTGTACAGAGTCTTACAGTATTTTAGATTGAGACATCCCTTTAACGTCCCACTACAGGACATGGACCTCCTTTAAAGAGAGATTAGGGCATAGTCGACCTAAAGTCGACCTCTCAATTGAAAAGCCTTTATTACGTTTTGATATTAACCTTAACATTAAGAAACGATGACAGATGTTTAATTTCTCTTTCGGTGAAAATCTCTGTGCCTCGATAGAACCAGAGAAAAAACTTCCTCCGTGCCCGAACGATTACCATGCTGGTCCCGGGTTCGATTCCCGGGCCGGGAGAAATATTTGTATACATTGATTTCTCTAGTGAGTTAGAGTGTAATTTGTGGTGGTCTATGTGTGTGTCCATGGTACCCGCGACACAGGGTTTCCCTAGTGCGGGGCCGATGTTGAGTGTGTGTTTTATTATAAAAAAAAAATTTGTTGGCCTTCTAAGGAAATACGAATATTCATATACTAAAACACTTGTGTACACATAAAACATTTATTAATACTTAAAAAATAAATAAACCTAACTAATAAAATGTCAAAAACAGGTACAGTTAGTAAAGAAAACTTGTATGCATGCATAATCAAAGATAAACATCATAATCAAAGTTCATTAGTAACACAATAAAAGTTTATTATAACTTGACGCGCTGACTAAATTATCGCACAATGCGACTTACTCGGCAATTTCTTCTGATAATATCTATTATTTCTTTGTATGATTGCGTGTTCATAAATACACAATTGCATTCTTATCTCTTTTGCCGTGTGTATATTCGAATACCGCAATATACGCGAGTTTTATTCTGTTCTCTTATCGGAATGGTCTCTAAATAAACCGGAACTACCGTTTAATATGTTATTGGTTCTAACTGCAATCGATTACATTATGGGAACAAATAATACGTATTTTATGATTTATTGTTGTTGTTTTCAAAAGGGTCATGATGAGAAATAGGTATTTCACATTCAATACCACACGGTAAGATGGATGAAAATAATATTTTAATATTTTCGCTACGTAAATACTTTTCTTATTTTTAGTAGCAGTTAAACGCCTTGTGAAAGAGTTGGTCCAGGGAATAGCTGCCACCTTACCTATTCCTGCCGTTTAAAAGGGTATAAGGGTGCTGGTGAAATTACACACATGGGGTCAACTTTTGTCTCAAGATGACGGGCGCAGTGACAGTGCTCCTCAGATCTTTGCGTCTGTTTTTGGTCTCGTTTGTACATGTACATATATAAGTTTATTCGCGATATTTCATTATTTGGCTCTATTTTGGGATTAGTTGTAGTGCTGAGCATTTCAACCCGGCGCGGCCTAAACGCAATAATTATTACGTTTAGGCCGGGTCACATGCCGGGCAGAGTACGTCCATGTTTGATGTGTTCGATCGATGTTTGCCTAAAACCGATGTCTTTCATTTGAGATTGACATATCACATTAACAAATTTTTGCTTAGTTTGTGACTTTCAAATTCTATTTGAAATTAAAGTAATTTCTTTTTAATTGAAATATCTTTTATTTTCCTATAAGTTTAGAAAAGTAGGTATGCTTCTAAAATCCTAAAAATCAAGTACCAATAGAAGTACGTCAGGGAAGCGTCTGTCATGTTATATGGCGGTATGTAGCGTTGACGAGCGTGACCTGCGGCGTGAACAAGCATCGCAAAGTTAGGTGTGTCGTGCTGGTAATTTTAACTCCCAACACGACGATGAACGCGTGAAAGATCTGAGTGGCACTGCAACTTCTGTCCCTTACTAACAGACGCAAGACGTTTTCGTCCCGTCTCTTCATTTCATAGAAAAGGCTCATTTTGTATCCTAACAGAGGAGAAATTTCACAAAGAGCTCTACTGCTACTCACTTCTTCTTCACTAGAACATACTATTTAATTTTAAGGTCGACGCTTAAGTATCTATATAGTATACATTTATAGTAATAAGCATTAAAACAATTACTTTTAAAATACTAAGAACACACTTTTAATTTAAAAATTTTTAACTTGCCCATTACATCAGTCTATTATATTCTATTTTATACCATTTCTATCAAAAACCGAGAAATTCATGGATACTTTCAAACTCGCGAAGACCGCAGTAAAGCTACAATATGTTCACTTAATAGCGTTACACTCGAAGGGGTTACCGTAAAATAAATGTTCATGCTCACTCGGCCAAAATACAGGGAATAATATACATTTTTCACAGTGTCAGAAGGGTCTGCTCAGTAGAAGTTGTTCGTGTTAAAGGGTGGAATCACCTCCCGTCGAATGTAGGTAAATTAAGTTAGCACCCTGTGTGCTCACGGAGTTGTTTCTACCAGTATCCTAAATTTACACTAATTAAAAATTTAATTCTAATGACTAATGAATTTTGTGTCTAAGTATCAGATGCGTATTACGCGCGTCGTAAATTATGCCTAATAAGATAAGGCATACCTAACTTACTTTATAAATATATACACAGCCTCGTGTAAATAAATAAATATATATACAACCTCGCAGGACTATACACTAACATCACAAACATCAACTTTTTTCCATGACTTTTAATAATTCATCAGATTTTGCTTTCATACAAAAATGAATATATTTAAATAGATCGCTCTAAATGGTAATAACTGTGTGTATGGCGGGAGTGGGAGTCGTCGCGGAGGAACCGTGCACGTTAGAACTTACCTTAGTATATACTCGTACCCTATACAAATTTAAAAAATGTCAGATAATACAACAAAAAGTTAAGTTTATTTTTGGTAAGTTTATTATGTTTTACAAAAAGTAATTGAATAAAAAGTTGTTCAAATGATGTTAGTAAAATAGTACTAGGAGGTTGTTAGCATTTTAAAATATCCATGTATAATACCCGTAAATGGAGAAAATGCGACAAAATGAACCCGAGACCTTATAGTTTATAAGTGGCAAAAGTGATCATGATGTAGGGTACTAAGCACTAAAATATTAAATACAAAAATATTTCCAGTGTACAATACGGGAAGCAAATGAGACTCAACAATATTAGTATCGATGAAAGAAACAAATCTGAATAGATACAGTCGCCTGCATTAACATGTATACACGTAGACACTTTCTCTGCGTTTAGGTATACATATTATTACACGTGATTATATCTGGACATATATGTTGTAACCAATTAAACCTGTTGCTACATGTTTTATGAAACTTGTGATAGTACCAACAGAAACTAAACCAAATAATGTAGATCAGACAAAAATATTAGTAAAAAAACTCACACAAGCCCCAAATTAAACTTACCATCAGTAGACATCAATGGTGTAACTGAAGATGGTAGCCCTACGAATTAAAAAACACATTATACTGACATTCCCTTAAATAACTGTACGAAAATTATAAATCATGGCTTGGAAAAACAGTGTATTAAATAAAAAAAACATCTGCAACTCAGAGGTGATGGTTAAAAAATAACGTGCCAGCTTTTACCAGCTTAGGTTTGTCACGTCGACCTCAGATAATAACTGGAAGAATATTCTAAGATACAGCCGACGCCTCGTGAATATTCACACAAAGCCGCGATACTTTGTCACGTTTTCTTCGTGAAAACCAATAACGCAGGATTACTGTATAAATAAATGCGTCTAAATTAAAAAAAAAAGTTAATAAAGTTATACTCAAGGTTTAGCAAATTGGTAAATGAATATAGCGATCTACTGGATATTGACATTGACGCACCCAACGTATTCTACGTTCCGTTATAATGAATCCCAATCAATGAAACGCTGCTTTTTGTTTTTCTTTTTTTTTCTTACATTTAGTTTTATTTACTTGACAGGAAATTATTCTTATTCTTGTGAAGTTTCGTGTAGTAAACCAAATGTATTATTGTCTGATACAATTAGTTCTAAGGAGTTCCTAGCTTACATTCCTAAGATAATATTATAATCAAAATTTAATTTTGATTTGATTTTGCCAATCTATGACTTAGATTGGAAAATCAAATTTTATAATTTAATATATTTCATTTAATATTGCCTTAGATTGGCACAATAAGACACAGGTTCGTGTCCTGTCAGATCGAAGTGTCATGCTTATGATATTATTGTAATATATGGCTGACGTACATGATGTACATATATTTTTTTGTGAATGTACTACTAATAGTTTAAAGGGGAAAAAACGATTACGTTGGCGTTGCTACGGTTGTTGTTGTTACCAACTGTAATGTACGTCATTTTTTCCATCCTCTAAAGGATAATAACATATTTCAAAAAATAGCGTGGCGTGGCTACAGAGCATGACAAAAATCGAAAAAAAAACTCTTTGAATTATTAATTATAACAAACTAGTGGAGTAATTTCACAAAAATAAATTAATATCATTGTAGTAAAACATCATAATATTCATTACAATCAATATTACAATATAAGTGAATATTAATATCATATAAATCAATATTATAAATAATCCAATGTTGATTAATCGTATAAATAAATATAAAAAAGAATAACATTGCCGTTATACTTTAAAAATCTGCGTAACAGGAAGTAGTTTAATCCGATGTAGCTTATAATTCGTTTCCGTAATACCATTTTCTACTAGCTTTTATTTCACTTCGCGTTCGTGTGATATCTTTTCAATTAGACATGCTTCTTGTACGTAGTCCATTCAAACTTTATTTTGTACGCACGCATTGTGACTATGTAATGCCTGTTGTGATGTAGTAACTACCACATTGTACAGATAAGTAAATCCCATTTCTTGCAACCAGCTTCAATGTCACGTAAATTTATATATAAAATCACTTAAACATATTTTATCTTAGGCATATGCTGAGTCAGCGCCCTTTCACTGTTATGACAAAATGTTTTTTCTTTTTGATTTTAATCTCTTTTTGTATCATATTTGTGATTAAAGTGTCCATCTATTTATCTACTCAAAATATAAGTAAGTACAAAAATTTAAATAAGAACATTAGTTTAAAGTAGGTACAAGTTTCGAAAGTTTAAGTTACTTAAACGTTTTCTCCTTTTTAGTATGTTGTATAATAATATATTTTGCAATTGCAAATTTTCTTTTTAATATAGGTTTTTGTTAATTGAATACGGATTCAATTTAAGTTAAAATTTGGTGTAAGTACAGCTACAACTTGGGCAGCTTTTGTTAGTGTATTAATTTTATCACAATATTTTGTTATAATCAAATGAAGATATGAACAATAAGAAATGAAAAATATTTTTTTCAGTTATGTCTAACATTAAACAACGTGTGCAACCAGCAACAGTACTTTAGATCCGATAAAAATAGTCTCTTTTGCTATGTGAATAATCGCGTAACCTAAGAAATCGATATATACGAACAATAAGTCAATACAGAAATGTTAACAATTTTTCTATGAATCCTATGAAATTAACCCCCGTTTTGAATTTCATTAATGTCAGAACAATGATGCCTATTGCAAGATGATAGAAACCGTATTACCAGCAAAGTAAAAACCGAGGCAGTGGAAACTCGGTATTCTTTCTCCTACATATGTATTATAATGCCACGCAGAGGTTCGATTCCCGGGCCGGGAGAAATATTAGCCTACATTTATTTCTCTCGTGAGTTTGGGTGTAATTTGTGGTTGTCTATGTGTGTCCATGGCACCCGCAACACAGGGTTTCCCTAGTGCGGGGCTATGTTGAGTGTGTACGTTATTGTTATTATTATTATTATTATTATTATTATTATTATTATTATTATTATTATTATTATTATTATTATTATTATTATTATTATTATTATTATTATTATTATTATTATTATTATAGTACAGAATTATCTTAGAATCTTTTATAAAACTCGCAGATTTAGTACTAAATCCAGAGAAATATTCTCTCAATTAAATGAATATTCATGCATCGAGGTGACGTTAATTTGTAATATTCCAGTATTTTTATAAACAAAATAAAAAAAACATTAAACGCGTAATATTCGGATAAAGGCTGCAACCTACGCAAATACCGTTTCGGACCAACATTTCTTTACTTCGTTTTTATTCAACGACTAGACCCTTTGAAATTTACGTAGAATCGAACCATAAATACGAAGTTGTATATTGCCAGATCAATGACTCCCTATACCTACAGTAGTTTGTATCAAATACAAGATGTCCGGTAAACAAATATGGATGCTTGCAAAGTGAACGAAATTTTTCTTACTTTAAAACATTGCCACAAATATTCATTAGTATATTGTATTTGTCGAGAACTTTATTTCATATTCACATTCATATTCATAACATTCGAGTGATATTATGAACCAAACAAAAAAAAATCATTTCAAATGTGTAAACACACCGGATTCAGGCTGCAACCTACGCAAACACCGTTTCCGACCAACATTGCTTTTATAGAACACAAAAAAAATTATGTTACCACGGTTTAAAGCTCTAAGGTTTCTTTTCCGCAACCAAATGTAACTTTTTTATACATTTGCTGTTTTACATCTACAACAAATTGCCTGTAATAAATTAATGTTGAATAACGTACCTTGGGAAACTTAAGGCTCACGTCTGGTTACATATGAAAGTAGAAGTATGAATGAATTGAATGTAGCACATTCATTCATTCATTCACAAACTTACGCAAAATGTGGAGACTATAACCACCAGGAAGATGTGTGAAGAGCGATAAGTATTTATTAATCCATTCTACATCCAGGACAAAGTCGGTGGAAAACTAAGAGTCGACAAAAGACAGCACTCTTGGTTAAAAAAATTGAAATGGAAGTGACTTGGATACAGTACCGTTAGAGCGGCAAGCCTCTGAAGTCAGGATTGCCATGTTGTCGTCCAAACTCTGGTAGGATAGGAGCCCATGAGGAAGACTAAAATAAAGATTATTTGGCTAAAATATGTCGATATTTGTCTCAACAAAACGAATTGGGAAATTTAATAATAAGTACAAATTCACCTCTTTCCTGCACCTCGTTCATAATCAGCCTCAATTTTATAAATTTAAACAACGTTAGTCTTTAATTATACGTCATTACAGCATATACAATTAAATAATATACATAATTACGTCATCACATTATAAATTTATTATCTAATAATTATTATAAATTTCTTAAGTTTTCATTATCCAACCAGAAAACATGTTATTATCACCAACAACAAAGAGCTAAACTTCATTAAATAAGAAACAACCATACACATATATCTAGATAGACGCCGCAAGTACAGCAGTTTGTATAAAAACCGAGCGTGCCACATTTTATGTATCCACCATGACGTCACAAAAACTATATTTAGTGATGGCAAACCATCTTCCGCGCTAAATCGATTGATTAAACGGAATACACGTATTCCATTCAATTAATCGATTCAAGTATTCGTTGATTACAATTCGTTGAAAAATACCAAAACAAGATAGTTATATCCTATATTAAAAGTCGTTTTAAAAAAATTTTGATTACTTAATAATTTTAATTTTAATTTTTAATCAACTTCAAATATTAAAATTATTGTCCTTGAAATAATATAAGCTTCTTATACATATAACTGTATTTTTGGAATAGAAGATCTTATCGATTGACTTAAATAATGAAAACGCACGTCAATATATGAACTTGCAACTGCCTTAATTAAATTTACTTGATGGTTTTCCGTCGGTGATTGATCAAACTGGTGAATGGCAAGACAACTGAAAATGTCACTGCTGACAAAATATCTAAACTCTTACTAAAGGAACTTACGGTTTACTTAATGTGGGCCTCGTGTAAAGTTTTTGTGATTTGTTCATGATGTCTCGGATTTCTAACTCTGCTACTCTCCATATTTGGATACCATCTTTGATGGAATAAACTAGACGACCTTCGTCCTTGTTCTGAAGCGTAGAAGCGCCAACTAAGTGTTTTTCGATCGATTAAATTAAATTAAACATGCATGCGAATTCCATTCAATTAATCGATTCTAAATAGAATAATTTTTGTTCAAGAATTTGTTGATTACAAGTAGTCGTAATATTAATATAGCAGAAAAATACTAGAATAAGATAGCTTAGTCCTTCATTTAAAAAAAAATCAGACTTTACTTTTTAATCGATTTCAAATATTAAAATTATTGTCCTTCCAGTAAAATGAGCTTATTATTATATAACATCTTTTTGTAATAGAAGATCTTATCGATTAACTTAAATAATGAAAACGCAATATATGAACTTGCAACTGTCTTAATAAAATTTACTAGATGGTAATTGATCAAATTGATGAATGGCAAGGCAACTGAAAATGTTACTGCTGACAAAATATGGTAAAATCTTATTAATCAGAAGAGTTTTTAGTTAATGATGGAG